CCAGCCCACTCGTTCGAATGGTCCTGGACCACGGGATTGTCAACCTCCCGACTTACAGTGCGGATTCCCTGGCGCCTTGAGGCAGCGGATTCTGCCCGGCTGTTAGGGGCCAGGAATCTGTATTCTTCTTAACCACCCTCATCGTCTGCCCCTACCGCGGTCCCACCGTGGGTGGCCCAGTGACCAGGGGAGTGTCTACGGTGTGGCAGGCGCCATGAAGTTTCCTGCCGGGGAATCCTGGCACACACTCTGCTCCAGGAGGTAGGCTTTCCTGCCGTGCCCATTTTACAGAGAAGTAAACTGAGCTTCAATGAGATGATGGTGGCCAGGTGAAAGACTCAGAGCAAGGGGCCAGGTGCCTGATTCCCGGGAGAGCGAGAGCGCGAGCGCGGGGCGCAGGGTGACGAACTGGGGAGCGCGCTCGGAGGTGGGGGCCGCGGGGACCAGCCGCGGCCTTCGGATGCGGCCCCGCCCCCACGAGGGACGTGAAGACGCGGACCCCGCGCAGCGTGGGGACATGTGACCGACTGCAGAGGCCGCGCCGCCTCCCCCGCCCGAGGGGTGCGCGCTCCGCCGCAGGGCGCAGACCCCGGGCGCTAGGCTGGGTTCGGGGTGCCAGAGCAGAGGCGGAGCCGAGGCGGAGCCAGCGCGCCCCGTCCCCCAAGAATCGAAAGCGAAAGAGGGGCCGGGGAGGAAGGGCGGAGCCGCCGCGAGGCACCGCCCCCTGCCCTGCGCGGCGGCCGGACCGACGGGCGCGCCCAGGTAGGGGGCGGCCGCGCCGCGCAGTGCGGACCCTCGCGGAGACCTGCGCTGCCGCCGCCACCATGTCTCAGGAAGGGGTGGAGGTAGGAGATGGCTTCGGCTGGGCCGGGGGCCGCGACCGACGCCGAGGGGGCTTCGCAGTTCCGGGGGACTCCATCCGGAGCCAGCCTCCCCTCGGTGACGTTAGGCCCCCTTGGAGCAGAGAGCGACTCCCACGTCCCCCAGAGCGAAGCGCGGCCTCCCCGAGGGAAAGCGGGGGCTGCAGGGTCAGGGGTCAGGGACCAGGGCTTGTCTGGCCGTCCCCCGCCCCGTCCCCTAGGCCGGGCCGCGCGCTCCAGCCCGCACCCTCCCCCAGCGCCCCGCGAGGACTTTGGCTTTTTCCAGGAAATGCCTTAAAGGGATGCGGGGGGAGCGGAGGCCAAAACCCAGGGTCAAGCTCAGGCCGAAGAAAGATACCCAGAGATGGGGGAGGGCCGTCGCTCCTCTCCTTCCCCTACTCGAGGCCCCTGTCCCCATCACAGCTGGAGAAGAGCGTCCGGCGCCTCCGGGAGAAGTTTCATGGGAAGGTGTCCAACAAGAAGGCAGGGGTGCTTATGAGGAAATTCGGCAGCGACCACACCGGAGTGGGACGCTCCATCGTGTACGGTGAGCGGCCGGGCCCTGGAGTTGGGCTGGGACCACGTGGTCTAGGGAGAGGTGTGGAGACCCTCTCCCCGGAGGTCCCAGCCTTGGGGAGACCGCGGGACCTGGAACTGCAACAGACCCCTCAAGGGCCTTTCCTTCACTGACTCTCCCATCAGGGGTAAAGCAGAGAGATGGACAGGAACTGAGTAACGACCTGGATGCCCAGGTAACCTGCCCCCTCGCCCCAAGGACTGGGTAACCGGAAGGAGAGAGAGGGGACCCGACCCGACCGTGGTGACCCACTCTGGAGCAAGAGGGCCTGGCCACAGATGGTCCTCCACTCATCAACCGACCTCACACACTTTTTCCTCTCAATCCGTTTCTGGCCGGGGCTTGAAACAGGCAGTGCAACAAGCCAGGCGGGAGAGGCCTCCAGAGGTCAGGGAAGGCTGCCTGGGGCTGGGGCTGCCAAGACTTCACGATGGGGAGAAGGAAGCCCCGGAAAAGGAAGTGGAGGGAAGAGGGAAGACAAAGATCTTCCAGGAAGAGGGAAGTCAGAAAGGGAACTGGCCCCAGAAGAAGGAGGGTTAGGAGCTGGGGAGGAGGGAGGAGGGAACCCGTGTGTGAAAGGRAGGAGTGAATGGCTTTGATGCACAGGTGCAAGATGGCCATCTGCCTCGTAAGACAGCTTTGGTGGCTGATAATCTGAATGTCCCTGATGGAAAGGCCAATCACAGAGTTATTAAAGAGCATAATAAAGTATGTTGTCTCTTTATATACATAGAGCATAGGATTACAAAAATAATAGCAATACATTGACTGAGCATTTCCCTTGTGGCAGGACTCCAGGAACTGACTTTTTTGTGGCAACAGTGACCCCATTAGACAGGTCCTAATATGCATCACCCCATTTTACAGACAAGGAAAGTAAGGCCCAGCATGATGACATCATTGTCCAGGTTCATGCAGCAAGCAGGTGCTAGCTGGGATTTGAACCCTGGCCACCTGGAATCAGAGCCTGGCTCTGAGGTGCCCCTCAATAACAACCCCAGGGACAAGTACCTTGCCCTACTTTCCACAGTTGGAAGTGACAGAGCTGGGATTCCAACTTGCCTCTGTCTGAATCCACGTCCCAAACACTTAGCCTAAGGCAGTGTGGCCTCAAGGAAGCAATATGTCAGTGTCAATAGCCTGTGGTGAGTCTTCAGGCAGGAAGAGGGTATGGGGTCCAGGCTCTGCCAGCCATGCTCACTTGGGGTACTCTCAGGCTCTGGGCCTCAGTTTCCCTATCTGAGCAATGGGAACACCGGGCACGCCCTCCTCCCAGGGCTGTTATTTGGATACCTGAGGCCACACTGGTGGTTCTCAGTAAGTGAGGCACGGCTCAGTCAGCTCCTGGGACTTAGGGGCACCCTATTCTCAAAGGGAGCCAGGGCCACCTCTCCCCATCCAGGAGCCACAATGCAGGGACCCCTCCCCCAGCAAACAAGGGTACAAAGAGGCCCGAGAGCCTGGCCCAGTTTCTGCCCCAGTGTCTCCATCCAGGACCCACCAGAGGACATGAAGCAGGATCGGGATATCCAGGTGCGTTGGTGGCTGGGACAAGGCCAGGGTGTGGGATGAGGGAGGAAAGGCAGAGTGGACATCTGTCTGTCTGTTCGTCCGTCCATCCATCCATCCATGGCAGACAGCACAGGGGCAGGACAGGGACACATTTGTAGGGAGAAGAGGGCTGACATTTATGTTTGTGGAGGAGGGTGACCCCCCTTCTCRTCCCCACCAACCCCATTCCACAGGCGGTGGCCACCTCCCTCATGCCATTGACGCAAGCCAACCTGCGCATGTTCCAGCGTGCCCAGGACGACCTGATCCCTGCCGTGGACCGCCAGTTTGCCTGTTCCTCCTGTGATCACGTCTGGTGGCGCCGTGTGCCCCAGCGCAAAGAGGTGATGCTCCCAAGCTCGACCTTGATTGTGTCCCATACTTCACTCCTAAGCCCCATCCTCAGCAGCCACCCCTCTGACCAAAGGACATGAGCCTCTGAGAGCTCGGTGACACTTCCAACCTTGGAGCCCGACTGTGAGCTCTGGTCTCAACCCGTGGCACCGAGGTGGGCTCCTGACCTTGGATTTGAGAAGCCAAACCCCTGCCCAAGAGCCTGACCCTGTGCAGTTCGGCACCTACGGAGTCAACCCCGAGCCCCGACACACCACGGCTGGCTTCTGCCCGGGGCCTGTGGGGCCCGCTGTGTGCCCACTGCCCTGGTGTCCATGTTGCCGCAGTGGCCATCACAGGCGGCCAGTGTGACCTGCTGGACGTACAGTCCAGCAGCTCCAGCAGCCGCAGCGGTGCCACTGCACTGGCGACAACCCAGTGCCCTCTCCACACCCCAGGTGTCTCGGTGCCGGAAATGCCGCAAGCGCTACGACCCAGTGCCCTGTGACAAGATGTGGGGCGTGGCCGAGTTCCACTGCCCGAAGTGTCGGCATAACTTCCGGTGAGGGCACTGACCCCCACCCCACCCTCACTCCTGCCCCTTCCCAGTCCTGTCCCACCCTGTCCTGGCCCCAACCCCGGCCCAGCCTCGCCCTCGGACCCTCACAGCCCTGCCCGCCCCCAGGGGCTGGGCACAAATGGGGTCCCCGTCCCCCTGCTACGGGTGCGGCTTCCCCGTGTATCCAACACGGATCCTCCCCCCGCGCTGGGACCGGGACATGGACCGCCGCAGCACACACACCCACTCCTGCTCGGCCGCCGACTGCTACAACCGGCGAGGTGAGCCCCACCACTGACCGCTCGGGTGGCCTGTGTCCCCCGTGCGGCCACAGACCCACCTGCAATCACCTTCCGGGCTCCCCTTTCCTTGGCCCGAGTCTTGCCCATGGGGTTCTGAGGTCTCGTGGCCTCTGTTCTGAGCTCCTGTCTTATCCCTGCAGTCCCAGCTGACCCCGTGTCCCTGGCTCTCTGTAGTCCCCATGTGCTCGGTTTCCTGCAGCTCTGTCCCCATAATCTGTGGACTCGGTCCCTTCCTGGCCTCCACAGAGCCCCACATGGCCCCTGCTGCCTCATCCMGAGTCTCCCGGGACCTTGGGCCCGTGACCTCAGCTCCTCTCCCTCCCCAGAGCCCCATGTGCCTGGCACGTCCTGTGCACACCCCAAGAGCCGCAAACAGAACCATCTGCCCAAAGTCCTCCACCCCAGCAACCCCCACATCAGCAGCGGCTCCACGGTGGCCACTTGCCTGAGCCAGGGCGGCCTCCTGGAGGACCTGGACAACCTCATCTTGGAGGACCTGAAGGAGGAGGAGGAGGAGGAAGAGGAGGAGGAGGAGGAGGAGGAGGAGGGCAGGCCCAGGGAGTGACCCCGCGGGCGCACACACCAGACGCGGGCTCTGGCTGCTCTGTGTTGTTATAAATGTGAGCTCAAAGCCGAGACAAGTGCCCTTGGGGAGCTGTCTGGGCCCGCGACACGGGTGGGGGACTCCTGGGTCCCGTTCTGGGGCTCTGGGGAGCAAATCCACAGTGGGAAAGTCCGGGACGGGCTCAGCACTGAGCCACAGAGAAGGTGCGGCCAGGACAATTTAGTCTTCTGCTGGGAAAGGCCCCGGGGCCAGGCGGGCAGAGGCGCGGGCAGTCAGGGCCTGGCGGGTCGGATCAGCATGGCGGCTTTCTTGAGGGAGTACGCCCCGCCACGGAACTCAGCCCAGTAGACACCATCCTGGTAGCGGTTTCGGTAGTGGCCACCACGGTGCCACACACCGTTGAGGTTGGAGTGGGCACAGGCATGGTACCACCAGCCCCCGCGCTGGTACAAGGCGCAGTTACCTGAGGGGAAAAGAGTGGGTGTCCTCACCAGATTGAACAAGCCTCCCCTGCACGCCATGTGCAAGGCATCTGCCAACCATCCCCTGGTCCTCCCCAGTCTTACTGAATAGAAGCCCTGATCCTCCATTTCCTCTCCAAAATAAAAACCCTGGCCTCCCACTTTGTTTTTCAGAGTAATAGTCTTAATGCCTTCCCTGTCTCCTTACCAAAGTACAAGACACACCTTTCCCACTTTTAAAATTAGTCATCATCACTCATTCCTTTATCAGGAAAAAAAAATTCCTGCCTCCTTTCTAGAATAAGAGACTGGGCTGGGGTGGGTGCAGCTCAGTGGTAAAGAGCTTTCTTAGCCTGTGTGAGATCCAAGATTTGATCCCCAGCGCACGTGCATGCACACACGCACAAAAAGAGCAAGAGTGAGAAAGAATATCCTGGTTCTCACCCTATGCCCTCCAGAAGAGAACAGAATCCTAATTCTTGCCTCTAATTAGAGAGCTAATCTAGGCTCCCCATCCCCTCATCAGAATAAAAGTCCTMGCCTTGTTCTCTTGCTTTCCTATTCCAAAACTTATCAGAGGGGAATCCTGTCCACTGCTTTTCATTCCCTACCCAGAACAGGAGTCCCACCTGCCCTACCCTCCCTCCAGAATAAGAACTCCTACCGGAATAGGAGTCTCGATCTCTATCCAAAGTGCTGAAGGGTTTGTCGTTGTGCCAAGAAAGAGAATCTCCAGCGTCACCGTGGTACTGGCCAAGCCGCAGGCGATAGTGGTCACTCTCGGGTTCCAGAGAGAAGCTATCATAGTGGGCACGTGCCCCACGGCCCCCCCAGTCCTCCAGGAGCACCAGCAGCTCGTGGTCTCCCCGRCTGGTCAGCTGATGCACAGGTTCGAGGCCCAGCCAGTATTCCCCGTCAGGCCGCCCAAAGCCCACCTGGCGAGACRGGAGAGTCGGGAGGTCAGGGACTGTGCCCTGCGCCCCCCCCCCACCAGCCTGCGCCGCCCGGGCCTGCCCACCTTGTAGTGCTGCCAGGTGGTGAAGAAGTTGACGGAGCCGTCCTGGCGCCGCTGGATCACCGTCCACCCTCCGCCCTCCAGCTGCTGCTCGCACCACGCGGACACCTGGAGCCGGCCGAGTCGCAGCTCGTAGACCCCACTCTGGCTGTGGCCTGCCTGGTGGGCCTCCGCACAGTCCTGCCACGGGCCTAAGGGCACAGGGRTGGAGGCACAGCCGGGCCAACCAACTCCTCAGCAGAACAAGAGTCCTCCTCCTCACTGGTCCCCTCACAAAACACATTCTGCCCTCCCTTTCCCTCATCCAAGTAACACCAGCAGCCACTTCCTCACCTCACCTCGCAAGTCCTTCTCTCATAAGAGCAAACTTGGAGCCCAGGGCTCTTAGTTCTGTCATCTCCTCACCAGAATATATGTCCTAAACTTAGACTCTGAACCAACTCCACTCACCCAAGTAGCAGTCCTCCACCTGCTGTCCCCTCATCAAAATGAGAGTCCCTCCCCTCATATTTTCTCTCCTATTTTCACACCATAGTAAGAAATTTTGTCTTTATATAAGCGTTTCATTATAAGATAAAAGCAGCCTTTCCTCCAGTCTTCACTATGAGAAGACTCTCCCATGAAAATCTTGACTCTTCCATTTCCTTCCACCCACACTGCAATGGAGATCCCCTGGCTCCTCAGACCCCCTCATTTTACCTGATGGCTTGGTAGGGATCACAGGGGCCCCTGCAGGCATAGGAGAGGCCAAGGAGCCCTGTTGTCTCTGGGTCTGGTCTCTCTGGGGCTCTGGGGCTGGGTCCAGCCTCCTGCTGGTGTTATTGGTGCTGCCCACCAGACTCAAGGGCACCACAGGCACCAGGGGCGGGGGCAGGACCTGGGGCGATGGAAAAAGTCAAGTGCAACTGCATCAATGCCTAGCTCAGGAGGCATGGTCTCTCAGGGCCAGAGAGGATGTAGACTCTCCCAGTGCCCCAACAGGAACTTGGTGGGGGACACGTCCCAGCCCTAAATCCCCCCCTGGAGATTCTCTCTTGGTCATCAAGCACAGATAGAGCTGGGCTAAAATTCTCTTTGGTGCTGAGAGCTTAACTCAACTGCACCTCAGTCTCCTCTGTGAAGCTGGAATAACAGGAGCATGTCCTACCTGCTATTTAACAGATTCTCCCATCAACACCGTAAGATAGGGACTATCAGAGAAACTATATTTTATGCAAAATCCAGGGCCAGYATGTTCTAGAATTCAGAATGGCATGGAAAAATTCTGAATGACAGGGATACCCGGTCACTGGTCCTTGTACACGGTAATAATATGCTTGAGTGGAGGAGCGTATGAATATTCACATTAAATGGATAAGTAAAGGCTATAAATAGCCCCAACTATATTTTGACCCAAATAAGTAATGAAAGGAACAGATAGGAATCTCGTTTCCAGGTTTTTCGGATTTCGGAACTGCGGATAACATCCTGGGGTTGCAGAAGGCCCATTTCACAGACGATGTGCACAGCAAACAGATGCTACTGAGAAAGGCTTTCTGGTTACCTGCTGTTGCCCGCCGGCGCCCCCCGGGCACAGGCGCTCCAGGCGGGCGATGAGGTCGCTCTGCTGGCTGACCAGCTGTGCCAGCTCTCGAAACTTGACGTCCAGCTGGTGGAAGCGGGCGGCGGCCTGCTGAGCCTCGGCCGACGCATTGAGCACGCGTTCCCCGAGCAGCGCCAGAGCAGCGGCAGGCTCCGCCCCCTGGCTCGGCCCCGCCCCCGTGCCGGCCTCATGCTGCAGCTGCGCGCGCAGCTGGCCCAGGCGCGCGCTCAGGCCGCGGCTCTCCTTGCGCAGCGCGCGCACCTCGCCGGCCACTGCGCCGTCGGCGGCGGCCAGTCTCTGCAGCTCGCGCAGCAGCTCCTCGTGGCGGCCGACGCGCATGCGCAGCGCCGCCACCTCGCTGGCGTTCACGGCCTCAGCAGTGGGTCGTGCGGCAGCCGCTCCGCTCCAGCACACGGCGCCGGTGAACTTCTGCTGGGGCAGTACGAAGGTGTAGGTGCAGCGCGGGGCGCCCGCCCGCGCCCACGACGCGCCCAGCAGGAGCAGCAGCGGCAGCGCGCGCAACCGGGGCACCGACATGACGTTCCTGCAAGCAGGGGAGGACAGGAGGCGGTTGCACCGGGAGCCCACGTCCGGCCCCCCATTCTGAGGCCGGGCGACGCACGCGGGCATGCGTGTGTCCACTCCTGCTTGGCCGCGGGTCCGGGATCCGTCTCCGTCTCTTTCTCCGAGACGCCCCAGGGCGATCCCGCTCCCGATCCAGGCGCCCTGCGGTTAAAATGCCTCCTGCATTCATTCATCAAATGCTTATTGAGCGCCGACTGTGTGCCAGACTCTTTTCTMGTCGTGAGCAAAGCACAAAAGTCCCCGCCCTAGTGGGCAAGAAACAAATATAGGATTCGTAGAGTATATTAGTCAGCCGGTGCTAAGTGCTAAAAATAACGGTAGCGCGGAGCGGGAGGGATGTGAAGAGTCCACACGGGCTGTTTGAGAGGRGGTGGATGCGGACAGGGGAAGGCTTCCAGGAGGAGGTGACGGCAGGAAGTCGTGGGAAAGTCTGGAGAGAAGCAACCCAGGCAAGGGTAACGCAAGTGCAAAGGCCCGAGTCGCCCACGCCGGCGGTACTAAGGAAAATGTAAGGAGCTGGAGCAAAAGCGGAGGGAGGACGCTTGCTTAGCATGTGCAAGGCCGGGGGTGCCTTCCCAGCACCTCAAAAAAAAAAAAAAAAGCAGAGGAAAGCGGGTGGTGAGATGGGGGAGGCGCAAGTCTGGTAACAAAGCCCTTCCCCTCCAACCCAGAGTGAGCACATCTGCTTCCCTTCATAACAGACCCAGGCCTCCGCCAAGCCTGTGCGCCTCTGTTTAGATCCTGAATTCCTCCAGCCCCCTGCCCCCCCCCCCAGGGTCCCAGCTCATGACACCACCTGCCCCCCCCTTTCCAGCACTCTGCCCTCAGCAGCCAGTGGACACCTTGACCTCAGGAATCTGTTCCTATCATTCCTCTACTCAACCTTCAGTAGTTCCCACCTCACTTAGCSTGAAAGCCCTAGTCCTCCCAGTGACACACTTTACCTCGTCCCCTCCCTGCCCTCACCGCCTCCAAAGCACCCAGGAACAGCACTTGGCCAGATCCTGCCTCAGGGCCTGGCATTTGCAGTCAGCTCCACATGCAACATTCTTTGGATTTTAACGTGCCCCCCCCCCATCCTGGTTCAGGTCCCACTAGATCTGGGCTGCACTTCCTGTCACTGTGTTTTTCAGTTTTATGCCCCACTCCTTGCTACTTATTTGCATACCCCCACTGCATTCTCCGGGGGGTTTCTGGGGTTTCCTTGGCTGCCTTATCCTGTGCCTAAAATAGTGCCTAGTACTCCTCCCCAGGCCCCAGCCCCCCCAGGTCAGGTGTGCCCCAGCCCCAGGTGTTCCGAGTGCTCCTGCAGGTGAGCTCAGACAGAATCTTTACTGGCAAATGGATACTTGTGGCCACCACCCTGGCCCTGCCAAAGCCACACCTATGCCCTCCTCACCTTCATCTCCAGGCCCACCAGGGTTCACACCTTTGCAGTCTCAGAAGGGGACATGCATGCCTGTGTGTGCTTACTGACCCTTGGAACCTGTATGCCTAGTCCACCCCAACTGCCTAAGTGCCTGTTTGTGTGGCAACAGGGACACAGCCTCAACCAAAACACAGAACCTCTGCCCTCCTGGATCTAATAGTTTCCTTGGGAAAACTATGGAATACCCCGCAGGGAAGTCAGAGCAATGGAGTTTAGGAGGAAAATCAGATAGGAAGAGGGAGAGTCTGGAGCTGGGGAGAAGGGACGTAAAGAGAGAGATCAGGAAAAGTCTCACTGAAAGGGTAACACTTGCGCAAAACCTGAAGGAAGAGAGAATGGGAACAGCGTTCTAAGCAGAGGAAAYAGTAAGTGCAAAGACCCTGAGGTTGGACCTTGCTTTGGATATGCCCAGGGAACAGCAGGGGAAGCCCTGTGTGGAACAGAGTGAGCAAGAGGGAGAGCAGGAAATGAAGGCAGAGAGGTAGCAGGACATAGGGTGCTCAGTATTTGGGGCCTTGAGGAGGACTTGGGGTTCTACTCTGAGTCAGAGGGGGCCAGGAAGGGTTTTGAGTGGTGGAAGGGCCCATTTGCTATTGTACTGACACACCAAGAAAGAGCTGTCAGGGTCGGGAGGGTCTTCTCTTGCGCTTTCCAACACTCAGTCTCCCACAACAGGAATGGACCAAATCCCCTGGAGCTGGAATGTGTGTAAAACCCAGCGCCTTTCATGTTGTCAGCCTGGGGTGGTGAGCAGGAGGCCTGGGAGCCTCCTCCGCCCAGCCAAGCAGAGGCCAGGGTCTCCTGACAAAGAGAATCAGCATCCACCTGCACTCCCACCTCTTACCTCTCACGACCAAGACCCTGAATCCAGCGAAGCTCACAGCAGGCACAAGAAGTCAGAGGAAAAGCCGAGGGTCCGGGAGGGCCTCTGAGCTAAGGAAGGGGAGAGGCTGGTGAGAAAGGAGAGAGAAGACTTGGTAACCACCCCCGGCCCCCAGAATCTGGGAGTGGAGCAACTGTAAATATTTAGCCTTTCCCACGTGAGAACTGAGGCAGAATTGCCAGACCCCCCTGCCCAGGCCACCAGAGCCTGATAACACAGGTCAGTGCCCTGGACGTCCTTTCTCTTCCTCCCAGTGGAGCGCTTGGGAGGCTGCAGGCCCTGGTAGGACCTGCAGGATCCCAGCCCCAGACACATAGAAGGATAATGTTGGAGAGCATCAGTGGGCACCTACTGTGTGTCCGACGCACCTCTGAACTCTACACCTTTTATCTCATTTAATCCTAGAAGCCCACTCCAGATTCTCTGTGTAGCAACATTTTAGAAAAGGGAAAAAGTTCAGAGAGGGTGAGCCACTTGCCTGCACTCACACGGCCAGAAAGAGATACAGGGGGATTCAGTCCAGATAGCTTGGCTCCTGAACTCACACACAACACAACAGTCACACACATGTATGTGCATAACAAAATAAAGACACACACACTCGTGCCGTTACCCAACAAAACTGACAAAGTACTGCACAAAGCAGCAAAGATAGACAAATGAAGTTCATGTACACATGACCACTAGTTCATCTGGCACACCCACAAAGACAAYGAGGGCTAGGGACATTGCTCAGTGGATTCCATCCCCAGCACCATAAAAAAAGAACAAAAGACACAAGAAACACAACGAAGATCTAGGCAACAACTGTATGTTCAAAATATGGCCACACAGGCACACATCCAGTGAAACTCAAAGGGAAATATCCACGGGTTGTAGGTCCGGGTCTGCCCCTCAGACATGAACACGCCAGGTACTTGTGGCCACACACAGGCAGCACAGAGACACCAAGCCGGCACACAGCAACGCCCAGATGCCCATCTGCCAAACCATGAATGTTTGTCCCTCATTCACTGGGTCACATTTTCACAAAAGTCAAATCACACAGGGACAGAACAGGAGGAAATAACCATGCAGTCATTTCTCAGAGGTAGAAAGAGATTCATGCAGAGCCCCCCCGGAAGCCGGCCGGGGCCCCTGACCTGTATGAAGGCCCTGCCGGCCAGCAGCCCAGCACCGGGGGAGCAGCCTCCTTCCCCACTTCCAACCGTCCTGAACTCCTGGAGTAACCCGAGTGGACTCCGGGGCTGCAAGAGGAAATGGTTGTCCCAGATCTGAGCGAGGCTGCCAGGCTGGGCTCTGGGCCGGGGCTGGGCCCCCCACCCTCAGCCCCCGCCGGCTTCCCCATTGGCAGCAGAGAGAGGAGAAACCTCCTAAGTCACAGACAGACTGAGGGAGGGAGAGAGGCCACCGAGTGGAGAGACCTGGGGAGAAGGGAGAGACAGGGAAACGATGGAGAGGAGAGGGGAAGGCTGGAAACCGACTGATGATGGAGACGACAGATGTTGGAGGAAAGGGAGGCCGAGATGGGAGGACAAAGGATGGGGAGGGGGCAGGGGCTGGGGGAGCCGTGAGAGGGCCTGGGCGGGTGGCCTCCCCTCCCAGGCGAGGTTTTGGGGGAAAGCCAGAGGCTGAGGCCAAGACCCGGGCTCTGGGTGGAAGAGGGCGGGGTGGACTATTCTCGAAGCGCCCGCCATGCCCAAAGTCTCCGGAAGTTGAGGTGGAGTTTCCATCCTCAGCCCATCGGCCGACAGGACGAGAATGAAAAACCGCCATGGCCCGATTCCCTCTCTGGCTGCTCCCAAGTGCCTGGTACCAAGGTGTCAAGCACTGTGTGCACATTCCGTCTCTTGGCTCGCAGCCCACGGCAGACAGTTCCACCCTCACTTTGGGGTACTGTAGGATCCTCGAAGTGGAGACGTAATGGCGCCGCTGGACGAAATGGGCCCGGGCGGGATTCGAACCTGTGGATAGGCTTCTCCGCCGCCCGGAGCTGTTCGACCCCGCCCTGGTTTCCGTAGAAACAGGCACCGGTGTCTCCATAGCAACCCCTCCAAAGATTTCCTACTCCCCGCCCCCGCTCCCCTCGAGGCCACTTAGTGCGCAGGCCCGCCCGATGACGCCATCGGCTCCGGCGCCGGAAGTGAGCAGCGCGGCGCCGGAAGTGGCCGGCAGAGGCGGCCTCGTGGAATAGACGGCAGCATGGGGCAATCGGGGAGGGTATGGCGCGGCGGCCGAGGGAGCGGGGAGTACAGGCGGGGTCCCGGCGGAGGCCGCGGCGCTCACCATTCGTCTGTCGCCCCCTCAGTCCCGGCACCAGAAGCGCGCGCGCGCCCAGGCGCGGCTCCGCAACCTCGAGGCTTACGCCGCGCAACCGCACTCGTTCGTGTTCACGCGGGGCAGTGCGGGTCGCAGCGTCCGGCAGCTCAGCCTGGACGTGCGTCGGGTCATGGAGCCGCTCACCGCCACCCGTCTGCAGGTCTGCCCAGCCAGCCCGCCTCTACCCACCCTGGGCCGTCATCGCGGCTGAGGGCCGGCTCTGTGAAACCTCGGGAGGCCTCTGTGTCCCGACTGGAGAACGGGACCTACCTGAGGACAGGGTCTCTGCATCTAGCTTGGGACTTAGTTGGGCAGTGGGGACAGCAAACCGTAGCTTCTCTGAAAGACCTGGGGCAAGGCTTCACTGGGCTTCTGATTGCTCATCTGTTAATGAAAGGTGCATAGGAGGCAAGGGGCAGAGATGGCACTTAACTAAACCCTGGTTCTAGCGATCGGGACCCTCAGCTGAAGGTCACTGTCGTGGTCAGTGAGGAATATCGCTATTCTTTTCTTTTCCTTTTTGTAATTTCTAGATCCGTAAGAAGAACTCGCTGAAGGACTGTGTGGCAGTGGCTGGGCCCCTTGGGGTCACACACTTCCTGATCCTAAGCAAAACAGAGACCAGTGTCTACTTTGTGAGTGGGCATCCACACCTTTCATCTCCCCCAAGCCCTCTCCTTCCTTGTCTCTCATGATGAAACCCTGTGCCTCTGAGCTGCCATGATTCTGGCTTCAAAGTAAACGCTCTGAAGAGACAGGCAGAGGTTCCCACTTGCCCTGTCCCTGCTGAATACCTGCATCCGCACTGATCCTCTTTTCTCCTGCAGAAACTGATGCGGCTCCCAGGAGGCCCCACTTTGACCTTCCAGATCAACAAGGTGAGGGGTGGAGGTGGTACAGGGGCCGTGTTAGGTAGGAGCTGGGCTTGGGGATGGCCCCTGCCACATGTGAGTGATAATCATCCACTCCCATCCTGCCTTGCAGTACACACTGGTGCGCGATGTGGTCTCCTCGCTGCGCAGGCACCGCATGCATGAGCAGCAGTTTGCCCACCCTCCCCTCCTGGTRCTCAACAACTTTGGACCTCACGGCATGCATGTGAAGCTTATGGCCACCATGTTCCAGAACCTGTTCCCCTCCATCAACGTGCACAAGGTAGGCTGGGCCTCTTGTCTTGGCAGGTGTAGGTGGATAGGTCATGGAATGGGTACCACCAGCCCTTTATTAATGACCTTATTTGATAGAGGGGAAACAGGTTTACAGAGATGTCAGTGGCCTGAGGTTAGAATCAAGAGTGTGCGACTAGTTGGGCACAGTAGTGCGTGTCTGTAATCTCAGCACCTCAGAGGGCTGAAGCAGAATTGCAAGTTCAAAGCCAGCCTCAGCAACTTAGTAAGGCCCCGAACAACTTAGACCCTGTCTGAAAATAAAAAGGTGAGGGGGGTTGAAAGAGTGCAGGACTGGAGTTTTGTTTGGGGCTCATCATCCCCACTCCGCCACCTTCAGAGTTGGGGATTAAACCCAGGCCCTTGGGCATGCTAGGCCAAGGACTATAGGGTTTGGTTTGGTTTGGCACCAGGGATTGAACCACCCAGGGGCACTTAACCACAGAGCCACATTCCCAGCCCTTTTTTATTTTGATGCAGGGCCTTGCTAAATTGCTGAGGCTGGCTTTGAATTTGGGATTCTCTTGCCTCAGTCTCCTGAGCTGCTGGGATTACAGTCGTATGCCACCGTGCCCAGTAGGACTGTAGTTTTTTTTCAGAGCCCCAGCCCCTAGTCCATGTTGGCAGCAGTTCTCCTGCTCAATAGGGAATCTGATGTGGGCACCACTTGCAGCACCAGCAGCTGCATGGCATCACCAGTGCTCCCCACCCAAACATGAGGTTCCTGGAGCATGACCAGTGGCGTGGGGCCTGCTTGGCCAGCGTTGTGCAGGCTACAGGCAGCTCACTGGGTCCCTTCTCTTCCTTTAGGTGAACCTGAACACCATCAAGCGCTGCCTTCTCATCAATTACAACGCTGACTCCCAGGAGCTGGACTTCCGCCATTAGTGAGTGCTCTGAGAGGGAGTGAGGGGGTGCAGGGCCAGGCCTCCTTGTGCGACTGATGACAGCACAGCTGCTGAGACTCCGTGATTGCTCAGTCTCAAAGTAAACGCTCTGACGCACTGCCCAGAGGCAAGGGGCGCAGAGTGGGTTCTGACGCTGTGACCTAACGTCACCCCTACCCCATCCCACTTCTGCCGTGCAGTAGCATCAAAGTGGTTCCCGTGGGTGCAAGTCGGGGGATGAAGAAGCTCCTGCAGGAAAAGTTCCCCAACATGAGTCGCCTGCAGGACATCAGTGAGCTGCTGGCCACGTGAGGAGGGCTCAGGGTGGGAGGTCACTGCAATCCAAGGGCCCTAGAACTGTCCCTGGAGTCTGATCACCTGCTGAGTCCCATGTGTCCCCACAGAGGTGCAGGGCTTTCAGAAAGTGAGGCGGAGCCTGATGGCGAACACAACATTACTGAGCTACCCCAGGCCATTGCAGGACGCGGCAACATGCGGGCCCAGCAGAGCGCAGTGCGGCTCACAGAGGTGATGCTCGGTGGCAGGGGTGACCTTCTCTGGCAGCCCCCAGCCCCAAAGAAGAACTGACTCTTCCTCTATCCCCCATCCCCCCAGATTGGTCCCCGGATGACGCTGCAGCTCATTAAGATCCAAGAGGGCGTCGGGGAGGGCAACGTGCTGTTCCACAGTTTCGGTGAGGCTAGGGGTGGCCAGGCTCGGGTTCAGGGATACGAGGCCAGCCAGGGTAGGTTGTGGTGCTGTAGCACACAGGACCTTGGTGACCTGTGTCCTCTTGTTCAGTGCACAAGACGGAGGAGGAGCTGCAGGCCATCCTGGCAGCCAAGGAGGAGAAGCTGCGGCTCAAGGCCCAGAGGCAGGATCAGCAGAACCAGAATGTCCAGCGCAAGCGGGAGCAGCGGGAGGCCCACAGGTCTGTGTGGACAGCTGGGCGGGCTGGATGGCCCTCCACCAGGTGGCTGGCTGACGCCATCTCCTGCAGGAAGAAGAGCCTGGCGGGCATGAAGAGAGCTCGTGCTGATGGGGACAGTGATGCTGAGGACCCAGGGGTGCCCCCAGAGGCCGAGGGGGCTGGCCAGCAGGAGGAAGAAGATGAAGCGGAATATTTCCGCCAGGCAGTGGGCGAGGAGCCTGATGAGGGTGCGTGGCAGGGTCCTGCAGCTGGGCACCCAGGACATGTTTTTGGTCCTTGGGGGCCCTGACGACTGTCTTCCCACAGACATGTTCCCCAGGGTGACCAAGCGGAGACTGCACACCGGGCCTCCAGGCAAGAAGCAGCGGGTGAAGGAGCGGAGGCCTAACCGAGACAGGGGTCAGGACGGTGGCCGGAGGCCTCTGAAGCCCAAGAGTAGACCCACGGGAGTCCAGGGCAAGCAGGGGCACAGAGGGGCTGCCCGAGAGCGCAGCCGGGGAAGGCCACTGAAGAGAAGGGCTTGAGTCTGAGCCCAGTGATGCATGGAATGCCCCAGATTGGGGCCCAAAAGAGCTGCCCCTGTGCAGCCCTCGGTTTCCTTTCATAAAGGAGTGGTAGCCCAACCCCCACCCCCACCCTCGCACGTCAATAAAGACTGAACTTGGCGGGTGTCTGAAGTCTGCTTTCTGGATGGATCAGGGGCACCTGGTGCCCAACATGACAGCCTAGGAACCAGGGCCAACCTGGTTTCTGCCCCAGGTCCTGGTGCATGTTCCCCCCTCGGGCAGTGAGGGGACCGGTGGTTGACCATGGTGTCCTGTGCTGAGGCACTGGGCCCTTCTTGGTCTCCCCTCCCCCAGGTCCCTGAGCAGACTACCTTCTGCTGTGGTGCAATGAGGAAGGAAGCTGGGCGTCTGACCAGCTCTGCAGGCTGAGGGAGGGGCTGCTGGTAACTCGGGTGGAGCCTCAGCAGGGCTTGGCGTGGGTGGCGGGCCACAGGCTGGCTGATCAGGCCATGGCGGCCACCATCTCAGGTAAGGAGCAAGTGCTGGACTAATTAAGGGTCAAGTGGAGACATGGCAGGAGTTAGGCTGCTCAACCCAGGTGGTGACAGAGGGGCTGGCCAAGGATCTTCAGGAAGAGGGGAGAGGATTAAAAGGTGCTTGGCAGGAGGCTTCAGAGCCTTCTGAGGGGCAGGCTGGGCTGGAGCGGGGCTTGTGCATCCCCAAGAGCTAGGGGCCAGCCTGCCACACAGAACAGGCCAAGTTTTCAGATCACAAAGCTAAGGCTGAGGGAGGGGCACACAAGGGGATCGGTGGTCCCCACGCTGTATTGGGGACAATGACACAGTGGCGCTTCCTGCCCTCCTGGAGGAGATTCTGGTGGAAATGTTCATTATGATCAAAAGAAGATAACCTGGCTATGGAAAAGAGCAGGGAAAGAGGGCCGGAGGACATGAGCGATGCACGTCCGACGTGAGGGAGATCAGTCCTCCTCCAGACATGGTCAGATTCCAGGGGTAGCAGGGAGGGTGACTTGCATGACTGGCTGGTGACTCAGTAACTGGGCAAGAAGAACATCCAGTGCAAAGGCCCACGGGCTGGACATGTCTCAAGGATCAGCCAGGAAGCTGGTGGTTTGGGGGTTGCTGTAGGGAGTCATGGCTGCAGAGTACACGAGGGAGGGAGAGTGGGAGGGATGGTTCCTTCAGGGCTTTGTGGGATGGAACTTTATTTTTGGAGGGGAGGGGGGATGTTTGGGGTCAACCCCAGGCCCTTGTACAAGCCAAGAACATGCTCTTCTGCTGAGTTCTAACCCCTGCAGAACTGACCTTTCTGAAGCAGGAGCCATGGAGGCCTGTGCGGGTGAGGGGTGAGACCTCCCTCTGGTGCTCACAGGCACCCTCTGGGTTGTAGGGAGGACAGGGAAGGTGGAGCAGGAAGCTGGAGGTCCAGGGCTCACAGGGCTGGTATAGGTGGGAGATGATGGGGGCTGGCCCAGGAAGGGGCTAGGGAGGGACAGATTCTGATGTAGCACTGCTGGGACTTGCTGATAGATTCGACTTCAAGAAGGACTAGTGTAAGTTTGGGGACTCCCTGAGGTTCCTGCTCCTCTGCCCTGGGGCCCACGGCTCTGCTCTGGGTAGTCATTGCTGACCTACATGCAGACCACCATGAGAGCACTGGCCCTCTGCTAGTGCTCAGCCGGTCCTCCGTGACCCAGTGAATTCATCAGCTAAGTAATAGAATCTCTTGACTCTGGGCCAGATTCCATTGCAAGCAGGAGCCGAGGCTGGTGTCCCTTGCAGGACATGAGGACCTCGGGAGATGGTGCACACAGGCCCCAGCAGGAAGAATCAACCTCACTGCAGATGTGGGCTGAGGGCAGCAGGAACCATGCTGAGGAAGGACAGAGCTCAGCTGTTCACATCCCCCACCCACAGGTGACAAGTCCTGCCCTGAGAAGTTCACAGCAGCTGCTGACCGTGTGCTTAGTAGCTACCAGCAGGACTTCCTCTGGCCCGTTCTGGTGGCTGAGTTCCTGGTGGCCATGGCTGGCAATGGCCTGGCCCTGTACCGCTTTGGCAGTCGGGAGCAGCGGCCCTGGAACCCAGCTGTGGTCTTCTCTGCCCAGCTGGCCATCAGCAACCTGCTCTATGCCCTGACGCTGCCCCCGCTGGCCGCCTACTTCTACCCACCCAAGAACTGGCGCTATGGGGACATAGCCTGCCGCCTGGAGCGCTTCCTCTTCACCTGCAACCTGCTGGGGGGTGTCATCTTCATCACTTGTATCAGCCTCAACCGATACCTGGGCGTTGTCCACCCCTTCTTCACCCGCAGCCACCTGCGGCCCAAGCATGCCTGGGCCATCAGTGCCACTGGCTGGGCCCTGGCAGCCCTGCTGGCCACCCCCATGCTCAGCTTCTCCCGCCTAAAGAGGCCTCAGCAGGGAGCAGGTCCATGCAGCACAGACAGGCCTGAGGCCTGCATCAAGTGCCTGGGGACAGCAGATGACCAACAGCTTGCAGCCTACAAAGCCTACAGCCTGGTACTGGCAGGGCTGGGTGGTGGCATGCCACTACTGCTCTCCCTGGTGGCCTATAGTGCCCTGGGGTGGGCCGTTTTTCGCAGCCATGGTATGACAGCAGGCGAGAAGCTACGTGTGGCAGTGCTGGTGGCCAGCGGTGTAGTCCTCTACGCCAGCTCCTACATGCCCTATCACATCACACGGGTGCTCAACGTGGATGCCCGGCAGCGCTGGTACACCCGCTGCCCAGGCTTTGCAAATGAGACCCAGGCTAGGGGGGCGCTGGAGCTGGGGCCCTATCTGGGCTTCCAGGTGATGCGGGGCCTTGTGCCCCTGGCCATCTGCATACATCCCCTGCTCTACATGGCTGTGGTGCCCAGCCTGAGCTGTTGTCGCCAAAACTGCCCACAGTGTGTTGGAGGCCACCCAGAAAGCAAGACTCCTGGCCAAGACCTGCCTCTTGATAATGACAATCTCCGAACCCCAGAACCCCAGGCCTCTGAGCTGAGCCTGTGACCCGCCTGCTCTCGCCACCAGGCACTGGGACAGGACTAGAGTGAGAACCAGAGCACAGCAGGCATCGGCCCTGACGCACCAAGAGGCCTCCGAGCTGCCACTGCCTCCCTAGAGAAAGGCCTGTGCCCCTGGCCAGGGTGGGACAGCTGAAGCCCAGGCCAGCACACGATGGATTCCTCACCCACAGCACCCACCCAAGAAGGCCCCGCGGGTTTAGGGGGCCAACACCAGCCTGGAAAGCCGGTGCCATCACCCCAGGGAGGAGGCACGCGAGAATGAGGAGGACACACGTGGGTGCTTTGAGCCTTTTAATGCCCTTGGAGTCCCCTGCTCTTGGAGGCTCCTTTCCGTCACAGAGGTCTAGGCTGGACAGCAGTGGCAGTGGTGACAGGCGGCTCAGTTGGTTGATGGCCTAGAGAGGGAGGAAGTGGTGAGGACAACAAAATACGGGACGTGATGGCACCCCAAGACCCCCCCCACCACAAACAGCAGGGCTCTGGGGGAGGGGGGAGGCCAGGCAGTGTGGTGGCAGGGCACAGGAGGAGTCAGGCTATGGGTCACAAGCTGGGCCCTGCCTGCCAGACTGGTGGTGGGTCCCAGGCAAGGCAGCTGTCTGTCACTAATGTCTGATGGCCTCTCTGCCAGGTTTTTTAGAAAAATGACAATAAAGGAAGGCCAGTTCAAAATAGCCTTGACGATTCAGTTGGGGTGGGACCCATGTCAGCCTCAGTGTGATCTGTGTCAGGGAGGGGGCAGGTCTGGGGCAGCAGGGGTCTTACTTGGCCCATTCCACATTGAGGATGAGGTGGTCGTAGCCGAAGCCAGACACCCCGGCGATGGCACGTGCGGCGTCCTCCCGGCGGTGGAAGCTTATGAAGGCAAAGCCCTGGAGGAAGGCGAGGCTCAGTGGCCAGAGCCAGGACAGCGCCCGTCCACCTGCCTGCCCACCCCCGCCACTGCCCACCCACCTTGGACTGGCCAGTGGTCTTGTCCTTAGCCAGGTAGATGCGAGAGATGGAGCCAAAGGGCCTAAAAAGCTCCTGCAGGTCTGTCTCACGCGTGTCCTCGGATAGGTTGGTGACACGAATGGTGGCGTTGTCATCAGCTGTGCGGGTAGGGAACAGGTGATTATGAGAGGAAGGCCCCACCCTACAACCACAACGCAGGGGTAATTACAGGGTGCTGGGAGGCGTCTACCAGCCAGCCTGGCACCCAAACGCCCCTCACCTCTGCGGTTGGGCTGCATGGACTCCCCACGGCGACTGGCCCCATCCCGCAAGCTCGGTGGCACGTACTTCCCAGTCTTGTTCTGTGCGGCCTGCACGGGCTCCAGTTCTGCAAACCCAAAGTACGGTCCCAGTGAAGCCTTGCCACGTGCCAACAGAGTGACAGATCTGCCTGACCACCCAGATCCAACCATGCCTAGACGCAGGTACCATCTGCCAAGCCACAGACATCAGGCCGGTCACTTTGAGGCCTCTCAGAGCCTCAGTGTCCACAATGACACCATGATCACTTCCAGGAAGAGGATACTCTTTGAGCACCCTGCCAGTAACACCAGCAGAGCAAGGGCTCACAGGGCAAATGCAGTCCCAGGCACCCACAGCCCAAGGTCACATGGAAAGGGACAGTTCCCAAGGGCTCCACACATGGCAAGTGACAAGTGCAACTGCATACAAGCCCCCAGAGGACATCCAGACTCGCTCGCTCCCAGTGGGCTGGAGGGCCGAGACCTCAGACAGGCACTTGAGTCCCACAGACACACACTCAAGTCACGATGGTGAGGAGAATCACAGTCAGGGAGTCACATACAGGGGACAGCCACATCCCAATCACAGTCAGTGCAGTTACACACACAGGTGTGGACATGAGTACCACCACTGAGAGTGTCTGAGCACACACAGGGCCCCAACAAGGAGACAGGCCCAATGGAGCACAGCCACGGATGCTGTTAAGTGGGAGACGACAGCTACAAAAGGGACAGCACCTGTACACACAAAGCCAGGACAGCCCAGGACTCTCCAGGTGCCCAATCCCACCCCGCGCCACCCCAGGCCATGCCGTACCTCCCGGCAGCTTCTCCTTCTCGCCCGTGGACAGGCCTAGCTGCTCTGCCAACTCCTTCTGCATGGGCCCAAGTGTGTCCTTGTACGGGCAGCGGGTGGTCCAGTGGTCACCCTTGCAGATGCGACAGGACACTATCTTCTGGCCCTTGAGCTTGTTCATCGGATCCTCCTCCTCCTGGCAGTTCAGGTCCTGGCAGGGAAGCAGGTGGCAGCAGCTCAGAGGGGGCTGCTTCACCCCTGCTACCACCACCCCGGGCACCAGCCCCACCCTCAGCCCCACCTACCTCTTTGCTGGTGATGAATGTCATGGAGACATCATCACTGACTGTGGTGGTGGCCACATTGGGGCCTGGTGGGTCAAACTCTGAGTTCCCGAATTTCTTCCAGTTCTAGGCTCAGAGAGGGATGGGTCAGGATAGAGACTGGGGTCCCACCCTGGGGCACCCCAGGCCTACCACTACCTAGAGTACCCCATTTTTACTCTCTCCAAACACCTCCCCATCATGGGAACAGTGACTGTTCCCATTTCTGAGGAAGCAGGAACAGCTCTCAATCAACACAAGAGTTCCAGGTGACAGAGACTCAGGGCGAGGTGGGAGCCAACTACATAGTTAACAATTCCCAGGGCAGCTTGCTGGGCCAGCTCCCGCCAGGAGGCAATGCTCAGGAATGTGGGGGGTCACTCAGAATGAGGAACCTTGAGAGACTTTAAACAGTGAGCCTCAACTTACCCCCTATAGAATGGGGACCACAAATGCTCCCTGGGCTGCTGTGGAGATCAGTGCCTGGCATGGTGTCTGGCACAAAGTGCAGAGCAAAGTGTATTAAATGTACTTAATGCTGTTACTTCTTCCAGAAGCCCTGAATCCTGGGTAAATGAAAGCTGCTATGCCACCCCAAGGGAGGGCTAGTTCCTCCAGGTAGACAGTCCAAGAGGAATAAGAATAGCCCCAGGATAGGTGTGGTGGCACACACCTATAAGTACAGCTACTCAGAAGGCTGAAGCAGGAGGATCTCAAGTTTGAAGTCAGCCTGGACAACTCAGCAAAATCCTATCTCAAAAAACATTCTTTAAAAAAAAAAAAATGAGTTAATGTGCTGGGGGTGCAACTCAACTGTAAAGCACCCCTAGGCTCAATTCCTAATAACATATACCAAAAAAAAAAAGTTGGGGATGTATCTCAGAGGTAGAGTGATTGGCTAGCATATGCAACGACCTTAGTTTAATCCTTGGTACGAGAGGTTAAAAAAAAAAAAAAAAAAAAAAGAATCTAATACTGTCTACTTCTTTTCAAGGCCCCAGAAGAATGCGAAAATACTCAGAGCTCAATTCTGCTTTGACAACACAGGTGCAAACAGTTAAACCCTTCCTCCCAACAGTGAAAATTCCTGGGTCAGTTCCTAAAACAGGGGAAGGAGGGTCTCACCTTCCTCCTTGCAACAGCCTTAGAGGCCTTTCGGGTCTCAATCCTGAAGGTGCGGACAATCTGTGGATGAAAGGGGAGAGTGTCAGGCTTCCTGCATTCCAAAGTTCCTGGGACCAGGGGATCTTCATCATCAACCCACCCAATCTATGTGCCCCCAAGCACCTGGGGACTCACCCTCCGTCACCACTCTAGCCTCACCTTGAATTTCTTGCCGTCTTCATCTATCTTGTACTCAGTCACTGTCTTTATGTTTCCATTGATAACCTCCTTAGGAGGTGGCAGTGGAGCTGGGAGAAGGGAAAAGTTGAGGGAGACTGCCCTGGGTAATGGAGACCCAGGTGGGAATGTGGCTGGGGAAACACAAGAGTTCCAGGTGACAGAGAGAGACCAGGGTGAGGGGGGAGACAACTACATAGCCCAGCGGTAGAGAGGAAGAGGTCACTTACCTCCTGGAAGTAGCTCAGGTTCTGGGCTGGTATCGCCAGTGGCCAGAGGGATGCCCTTGAGGAGCTCGCTGGTGACACATTTGTCTGTCAGAGGGAGTGTGGGAAGAAAGGTCTAAGCTAAGATGAAAGGATCTCTGGGACAACTCCACACCAGGAGCTGATGAAGGCGGGACCAAGGGCAAAGGGCTGGCCAGGCATCCGGCTGGGTGGTGACCCTAAGCAGTGGCAAGGGTAGGGATCCCGGCCATGAAAGTGGGGGGCGGGCCATAAAGTCACCCAGGCGCTAGTACAAAGGCAGGCTTTCCAACTTCCTCCCTGGAGTAGGGAGCAGCTGTGAAGACTGTGGCAGTGACATGGGAGTTGGCAACAGGCAGGACCCGAGGAGGACGGCGCGGGGAGGGAGCGGGAGCACCAAAACAGGCGGCAGTGCGGTGACCCAGGGCGACCCGCTACACTCACCGTCCTCTCCCTCCTCTTCCACCTGGTCGGCCCAGCTGGGCTTCGAACTGCGGGGACAAGTTTGCGGAGAATGGCGGTTGGGTCAGTGAGGGCCACCCTCCGCGGCCTTGGCACATCTCGGCCCCATAACACTCCCCAGAATCCCCCCGATCGCCTCCCGAGAGCTCCTCCGCGACCCCGTACTCACTCAAAGTCTCCGGTCGGCATCGCCAAGTCTTCCCCACGCAGCTTAAGCCCGGGCCAGAGGGCGGAAGTGCGGGGGAACGAAACTTCTGGTTCCGCCGCCGGCTAGAGTAGCCCGGTCTTCACGTCCACAGCGCCCCCTGCGGACGGAGGTGGACACGCCAGGGGCAGACGCCCCAGGTCGCTGGTAAGTAAAGTTAGCGGAGCTGATGCCATCTCAGGACTTAAGAAAGAAAGAAAAAGAGAGGGCGGGGGAGGGGAGAGGGAGGGAAGGCAGGAAGGCAGAAAAAGAAAAAAACAGGGTGAAAAAAAACAGGAGAGGAGAGGATAGCGAGTCTTTTTTTTTTTTCCTGTACTCAGGAGTAACCTACCCCAGAGTTACAATTGCCCAGTCTTTTTTTTTTTTTTTTTTAAGGTCT